TTTTGCAGCAGCGGGCAGCGGCCGGGGTTCAGGGGAAGAAGGTGAGAAAGTTCCCAGCTTTGTGCAGAAGAGTTCTACTGAAATCTCTGTGTTGCTTTTATGCAACTCGAGGAATGACTAGAGAACTTGGAAGAAGGAAGAAACTGGAGAAAAGATTGAGCTGATATGGGATTCTGGCGCGTGGGAATTCTTCGAACAGAGTTGGATACCTACGCAAGAAGCAGAGGACGGGGACGGTGTGGCCGAGGAGCTTCTGCCAAAGGTAGTTGTGGGTTGAGGGATTGTTAAGTCTCAACTGTGCTGCTTTTGCCAAAGGAAGTTGGAGTATGAAAAATGGGTTGAGGGTGTACGTGGGCGACCCCGTCGGGTCGCCCACGGGCTAGCACGACACGGCACGATTAGAGCACCGGCACGAAATAAATAGGCCAACCTAGTACGAGCACGAATAATTTATGTGCCGTGTCGGGCCTAAACTTAATGGCCACGGACAAGAGCACGGGTATGGCACGGTATATAAGTGGCACGAAAATAATGTTTATTTGATTGAAAATAAATATAGAATTATAGGTTCAAATATTACAAAATAGAAAGAAGAAAAATAATTATTTGTTGTTGTTAGAAGTGTCATAAAGATATATACGTAATTACTACCATAAGTAAAAATGGACGAAAAATTAAACAAAGTCAAACACACTCGTTATACTTTCAATTTTCTTTTCCCCCTTATTTGTTACTTTTCTCAAACATTATCGGTTAATACTATCTTTCTTCATCCAATTTTCACATTCTTTTTCATTATCTCTTTTGTTTTCTTCCTTTTCATTAAACACAATTACGAGCACGACACAAACACGAATAGGCACAACACGATTCCAACCGTGTTCGGGCCTGTGCCGGGTCTAGCAAAGTTAACAAATGGGCTTGCACGACACGACACAAAAACTGACTAGTTGTGCCAAGCACGACACGAAATAAATGGGCTCGAAGCGTGCTCGTGCCGTGCCAGCCCAAGCACGACCCAGTGCCCATGTACAGTTGAGGGATTATTCAGTATCTTGGCATATTGGAAGCGAGAATTTCTACAACAAAGCGATGACAGACAAGTCACCAAGAGTGAATCTCCAAATATGTATGATGGATGCTCATTTTCTATTTTCTCAACAATTGAATAATTTGACTTTCTTAATGGCCAAAACTAAGAAATTATAGGGATTTCCTAAGGTAACTTGAATTTTTTACATAATTATAGCAGATTTCACAGGTCGCATTACGTAAAATACCATAAGCGTTACATAATGGTTACGTAACCAATGGTAATCTTACGTAACAGTTGTAAAAGATCATTACGGAAGCCTTTCGTAATAGAATGTGTCTTACGTAATGAATATTAACCTCCCGTTACGTAAAATGCAAGTCATTACGGTAGCCTTACGTAACGCTACTGATTTAACTGTTACGTAAGAAATAACTATCATTACGTAACATTTACGCAATCGATGTGTATTTTACGTAACAGTTGTAAAATATCATTATGAAAACCTTACGTAATAGATAGTCCCTTTACGTAATGAGTATTAACCTCGTGTTACGTAAACTACTAAGTCATTACGGAAGACTTACATAACGCTTCTAATTTAACTATTAGTAAGAAATATCTATGTTTTTTTTTTTTGCCATAGATCTTCCAAAAGGAACAGCAAGATACGAGTATATACAAAAGATGACCAAATGTCAAAAACTAAAGAACAAGCAAGGGACGTCGGTCAACAAGAAGTCGATCCATCGATAAGAGGGCTTCTTTCGCCACGATATGGGCAGCCCTATTGTACCTCCGAGGTGCGAAGTGGAACGAGACACATTGGAACGAGGCACTAAGGACGAGCACCTCGTTTAAGATGGCTCCCCCCAACACTTGTGACGTATCCTTCGCGTTGACCATCTGAATGATCACCTGCGCATCACCACAAAACACCACATTAGTTAGTGAATGATTGAGACACCAACGTAAGGCACCACGCAAGGCCATGAGTTCAACAAGGAAAGGGTCAGAAATGTAGTCATAAAACCGCCCAAATGCAAATGAAATAGCTCCTCCTGTAACAATTCCCACGAAGCCAATCCCTCCACCCACTGAAACCTTGGTGGCCCCATCAAAATGGACTAAGACTCCATTCTCTGGGCAGGGAGGTGGAGGCGAATCACCACCAGCAGCTCTTTGCCCTCTAGGACCGGCACGCCGCCGAGCCGATGAGCTGTTCTGAACGGTCTCCCATTCTGCCAGCTGAGAGTCATACTGTCGCACTAGGGTGGGAGGAAGATATATGATCAGATCATAAGCCGCCCAACACCGACCTTTCCAAATGCGCCAGAACACGAACACTAGCCGAGTAAGAAATATCTATGTTTCGTAAAAGTTACGTAATGGGGTATTAAGTACAAAATTGTACAAAATAATTAAATAATAAATACAAAAAATAAATAGAAAAAAAAGAAAAAGGAGAAATTTTACAATGCTATATAATATTGGTGTTATAGGTTTTTGCTTTTATGCTACAACTTAAAATAGTACATTTACGTTATGGTACAACTTCAGATTCTACCTATACTTTTTGTACAAATTCTTTTATGGTACAACTTGAACTTGTACCTTTACTTGAACTTGTACCTTTATGTGATGGTACAACTTCAAGTTGTAAAGTTGTATCATACCATAATGGTACAAATTGCTTTATGATATAACCTAAATTTATACATTTAATGTTATGGTACAACTTTAAGTCGTACATTAAAGCACCAATGCTATATAGCATTGTAGAAGTGCTAAGAAAAAGAAGACACATCAAATATTACAAGAAAAGAAGTGTTAATATCTTTGAAAAAAAAGGAAAGAAGTTTTCCGCAAAACTTATAGAAATCCGGCACCCGGTTGCGGGAATGGATCAGGTCAGTAACTTTATGGTGAGTAACTATGAGTAACCCGCCCACATCAGCATGACATCAGCATCCTCTCTCTCCTGGAAAGCCTTTAATTTTCCCCTCCTTAATCTTTGACGGACGATTTCTCACTCGTTTTAAGTCGAAATTTAATTTTTTTTGCACAGTTAGATCAGATTAATTGTGCTCTTCAAAATGATATCCACTTTTATATATTTTTCGAACAAAAAAAATTGAGCCATTTTTTACCAGTCTATACCATATGGTATTGACTGGTATTGAAATAAGAGCATACCTATGGGTTCAAAAGCGTACCATGGTGGTATGAACAAACCAAGACTGTAGGATGATTGAATACATGATAGTAGAAGTATATTAATTGTCATTTACGACTTTTAACATTGTATACCATAAAATACCATAAAATACCACCCCGTACCAGGGTGGTATTGTATGGTATTGTGTGGTATTTTTTGGTCTTGTAATTTGTTCACCCAGAAATTTGTAGATCCAATAGATCATGATGAACTCGTCCCTGCTGTGCAAACGTTTTCAAAAACGAATGAAAAACGAAGAAAATACCATATGGTATGCAGTTGGTACCGAGAGGCCAGAATTTTTTTTTCCTCAAAAAATATTGAAAATTGATCTCATTTTGTAGAGCACGATGAACTCGTTCCATCTGTGCAAAAAAAATTAAAATCCGAGTTAAAACGAAAAAGATATGAGTCAATTAAGAAAACTAGTGAAAATAAAAATAGCCTTTAATTCTCCATCCTTAGATCTGAATTTTCTAAATGAAGGGTCCAGATTTGGTTATTGATGGGTGCATAACCATGGGTTATGCACCCTATCTTGAGCCCCCGGTTGCCGTTTTTTTTCTATTTTCCTATTTTTTTTCTTTTAATCAATGGCTTAAAATAATTAGGATATAATTTAATGGTTCAGATTTAATCAAGTTACCTAATTTAAAATTATACTCAAGTTACTCTAGGGAATCCCTGAAATTATATTGATATTTTATTAAACTGATATAATATTTTTTGGCTTAATACATTTGTATAGCCAAAACTTTCGCGTTTATGACAATAATAACCAATTTTGAAGAAATACCACTTATAGCCAGATTTTATAGTTGTTTAGAACAAATCTAGTCATTTCCGTTAGATTCTTTAAACTTGGGACATTTGTTATCTACGATTATCGATGATATTGCAACCGGCCAACGGGCCGGGTTACAATCTAGAATCTAGTGATTAAATAGATCGAAACTGCAGTGTATCAAGTCGGATACCAAAACTGAAATCCTATTTAACGCCCTAACTTTTTAAATTTGTCGCCCTAAATTAACCAAACGAACGATTCTACCCCAAGCCCTAAAATGCTCGCCCCTAATCCCTAAATTTCAGCCGCCCCATCGCCGCCGTTCGCCCTAAAAGTCCGTCGCCAGAAGGAAAAAAATCTCGCGCCGTCGCCGCCATTCGCCCTGGAAGAATCCTTGTCATTCCCAAAAAGGAGAAGAAGACGATAATTACCAAGCTCTACTTCATCGTGACGAACAAAAAGATTCTGATAGGTGTAAAAATGGCGGATTGGAGAGTACTATTGTTGAATTGGACAATACTGTTCCATCGGGGGAAATTGGTAATGACTGGGGAAGTGATGACTGGATTCGTGGAGGAACCCAGGATTGGGAAATTAACTGTCTATGAAGCTTCTTCTCTGAATGATAATGAGGAGAATTTCCAGGGAGATGTATTCGATGCAGAGAACGGTTGGGATAACGGCGTCCATGGAATTTGAGCCGGCGGGGCGGGATTCTTTTCTCTGGCAGCAGCTAATGGCTGAGCAGAGCAAAATTAGTGTCACGGCGACGACTGACATTTAGGGATAAGGGCGAGCGTTTTAGAGATTAAGAATTTTTTTGAGCAAAAACGTCAATTTATCTACGTTAGGGCGACAAATTTAAAAAAATTAGGGCGTTAATTAGTACCTCTGCATCATATCAAAATAGTCATCTTAGACTTAGTAGTAGGCGTACTATCACGATTGCCATATTTATATGAGCTCATTTGAAAGAAGAATATCGGGCGTGGTGTCCAACTGATAGCCAACCATGTTAGAATGAGCTTTAGCTCGAGGATAAGGTTGCTCAGAAGCGAGCTGTTATCCTGAAGAAATCTTCAGCTTAATCTCCAGGTTACCGATAGAGCGAGAGACAATGTCTGAGGTTGCTGGTTTTGTTTCGAAATTCGGAACCATTACAAGCGGGGACCTGCGCCAAACCATCACCACAACAAGAACAAGACCAATCAGAAGCAGTAGGCATTCCGTCAAACGACCGCCGCCGTCCGCTCCCAGAATCATAGCCGCCGGTTCCAGAAGTCACGACGCCGGCCACACCCAGCCGCAGCAACAGCTTGTACGTACAGAATCCTTCATTTAGTTGCTAGAATCTCTAGCCTTGATCAAATTGCTCTGGCTATGCGATGGTTCATTTTTTCCCTCGATTAAGTCGTTGAATGGGGTTAGCGATGAAGAATAGTGAATTGGGTTTAGGGCAGCAGCAGCAGAAGGAGCGGCAAAGCTCCACGGCGGTTGATCACGATATCGACGGGGAACGGGAGGTGGAATGGGGAATGGAGCTGTGACTACTTGTTCACTTTTAGGGACCTCGGCCTCCAAGATTTGATCCAGGACGCTGTTGAGCAGAAAGATGCCACCGTCTCTGTTAAGCTATGTGTTGAGAAGGTAGACCTTTTTACCTTTACTACCACATATATCATTTCAATCGGGCTGCTAGAGCCTCGAAGTAACATGATTGATTGATTGATCGATTGATTGTATTTCCCCCCTTTCTTTCTGTTGTGTATGGTTTCGGATGTTAGCACGCGAGCTTTGGATTCTCAGTGGACGGAATCATCATCACTTCCTTCACCAAGAAATGCATCAGCTGCAATTCCCCTTACTCCACACAGGTTCGTAACATAACTCCATCTGCAGCCTGCAGGCAATCAGTTCATTCCATTCATTGTACCCGTTTTGAGAGCCGTTTGTGTGGGTGTGTCTTTTATTCCATGAACAGATTGATACGAATGTGAACGTGTGGGTTCTGCCCTCAAGTAGACAGAAGCACGACAGAGGTCCAATGGATGAATTTCCACTCATTGGAGGGGACGACCCTTCTGTAAACTCAATCTCCCCTGCTCTAAAGTGATAACCCTTTTTCCCCTTTTGTTTCCCCTTCTGAATTAAAATAAAACCTCTTGTCATTCTGCAAAACTTACAGGTTATCTACGTGAAGCCAGGTCACGAAGCCGATCTTGACTCATTGGTAAGGGATGCAGTCCGTTTAGCCATTTCTGTTAAGGTATCATCCCTCCGCAGAAGCTAAGCTAAGCTAAGCTATAACTCCCTCCCTACTTTATTATCGGTAAGGACTCTAGACACGAGCTTGCGCGCGTTGATGTTGTACTCCTTGATGCAGGATACATCGGATACATGTTCGGATCGTTGTGAGAAAACACAGCCCAAATTACACTGTACGAAAATCAGTCGATTATGTTCCGTTTTGTCAATTGTGGTTTGTTTATCTGATGAAAGTGCAGGGTGCCCTTGTTATGTCTGACATTACTGGTTTTGGGTTTGCTTCGAGCGGCAGATATTGGGAAGCAGAACCCGGTTGGTGTTGACAAGAGATGGGCGAGGCTTTTGCAGCTCAAGAGTCAACCAAGTACGTGATATACAGAAGAGGCGAGGATTTTTGGAAGTGGCTGCTAGCCTGCTACTGCTATGCCTCCTTAGGGGTTCTCCTTCCTAAGCACATAGAACTTTGAAGAGATCGATCACCACTGAGAGAGGAACTCTCAAGAGATGTCTGTATCTCTGTCACTCAACTCAAGGTGTGTTACAGATTGTTGTCATGTTGTAGAAATAAGGGGATGGTCGTTGTATAGGTCTGAAACCCCTGTTGTATTCTAAAATTCTCTATACAGACTTCTATTCTATGACTATGCATACCAAGGTTCCTAGATATCCCAGGTGCATCTTACTATCTCCCAACATTACTTATACATCAATCTCCCACATTTCACAGCTCATAGTTATACAAGTTACTATCGACATTAATGTAGATGAATTTCTAAAATTGTACCAAGTAATTTTTAGAAATATTTTGTTAGTAAAAGGAAATCGTAAATGATTCCACGTGCTTTATTCAAGATCATGTAGGATGTTTGCTATGAACCTGTGTATTTGCTTCATTATCGTGGCGAAGTTTAGAGGAGCAGTAGAAATGCTTTCAGTTGGCTTGAGATGCTGCACATAGAAGAACTCGAGTACAACTTGATTATCAATGTGCAGTTCAACTGCTTCAGACTTCAGAGCACTAATAGAAGCGATCACCAACATTCAACAGGTATTCAACACTTCCACGAGTTAAATAGATAGATAGATACCTGGAAGCTATTGTAGCCCACATTTATAGAGAGACTAGTAGGTATGCTGACTGCCTACCTAATCAAGAACATTCATTACTGATTTACCGTGTGGTTTTCATATCATATCGTTAGCCAATCTATTTATTAAAAGAAAATTGATTCTCAACAAAATATGAAGATTTGTTTGTTAACAAGAAACTTAGATGAATTCATGCATAATTAATGGCTGACCAACCCCACCCATACACCACAAAGTCTTTCCATGTTCTCCTTTTGGTGTGAAACTTTGAATCTAGGGTCGTCGGCGTTAACTATGAACACAAAATTAGTAAAATGCATCGACTAAGTCTTTCTTGGGCAAAATCATCACTTCATTGAGGGCTAAATTACAAATTTGGTCACTCAAATAATACAAATCTTTCACGTTTGTCACCCGAATTGTTTTTCTTTCTTACTTGCCACTAACTTTACGAATCGTTTTACCGTTAGACACCGACGGACCAATTCCGTTAAAATCATCCTACGTGGTAGTCAACTAAAATCTTTGACTGTTAGTTTGATGACGTGGCAATTAAAAAATAATATAAAAATATATATTAATTTTTAAAAGGACGAAATTTAGCTGCAACTCGGGTTGCAGCCATCCCCTGCAGCCCGGCGACGTGGCATCATATAATTGGTTGGTTTTTTCTTAATATACATGCTTTCATTTTTATCTAACGGAGCTATTGACGGAGGGAATTCTCCCTCTTTCACCGTAAACACTTTTTTCTTTTGCGTATTCATTATTTCATTATTCTCTCCTTTCCGTTAATTATTAGTTCTTTTCTTTGCTTTTCATTCTACTCTCTACTGCCTATACTTGTCCATTGCCATAAAATATTATTTAATTTTGTAGTCTTTCAGCCAAATACTTTTTTTTTATAACGGCAGATAATATTTCTAAATCTAGAAAATAATAACTTATTTATTGAAATGTAAAAAATTCAAATATAGTGTAACCTTATGAAACGCAATTTTATTTATTATTTGTTGATTTGGCTATTTTATTTAGTATGTGGCGAATTTTAATACTTTAATTAATTTAGGGTTGAACATCTCCCTAAGTTGAATAGAGGACTACCAATTCATCATGTGGGTCTGAGTACGAGTGTAATTGTGTTCATAATGTTGTATTGGGTTTACCCAATTGTGGAAGTTAGTTGTGAATACCTCAATTGTCAAGGTCGGTTGCATGGCACGTGGGGATGGCAATTTGACACACAGTAGGGCTTTACCTGACTACCCATGATGGGGCGGGTATTACCCGACCCGCAGTAGCATTGGACAAGGCATGTGTATTTACTTCTGATCTGGCCCGTCATGTTCTTGGCCCATTCTATCTCAATTTAAGTGGTAGTCTATGTGATTTGAACCTGAGTCACTTCTACTATTATAGTAAACATATTTTTCATTATACTACAACTCATTTGTTCTTGTATTTTAAATCCAAATCTAATTTTCAAAAGCTAACGATGAAACCCACTTACAAACTCCACTCGTCTAGTAGGACATATTGAAAAAGATTTGTAGAGCAGTGTTAGACACCTAATATATTTTACCGTTTGTCAATAATACAAAACACGTTGTGTGGTCCTATAATTTGTACAAAGGATGTTTTTTTATTTAATAATTGACGTTAACACTAAACTATAGTCTCTGCTGGTATTTGCCTTCTGTGGTTGTCAAAAATATATATATATATATAGGGTAAATGACACATTTGGTCACTGAGATTATTAAATCGTGTCATATTTAGTCACTAGAAAAATTTAATATCAATTTTGGTCACTCGAATTACTGACACAGGTCACATTTGGTCACTCTTCTGTAGCCTCTGTCCAACTCCGGTCACTCGAATTATTGAAAAATGTCACATTTAGTCACTCGTATTACTGAAACATGTCACATTTAGTCACTCTCCCAAAAGTTTCCGTCCAACTACATTAATGGAGTTGGACGGAAACTGACGGAAGAGTGACTAAATTTGACCAGTTTCGGTAATTCGAGTGACCAAAATTGATATTAATTTTTTCTAGTGACTAAACATGACACAATTTAATAATCTCAGTGACCAAATGTGTCATTTACCCATATATATATATATATATGGCTTCTGTGAATAAAAGGGTGAATTTTCCAAAAAAAAAAAAAATCATCCCAAAGAGAGGATTCCGTTCGCCGATACCTATACGGGGGAACGGATCAAGTCAGTAACCTTATGGTGAGTAACTATGAGTAACCCGCCCACATCAGCATGACATCAGCATCCTCTCTCTCCTGGAAAGCCTTTAATTTTTCCCTCCTTAATCTTTGACGGACGATTTCTCACTCGTTTTAAGTCGAAATTTAATTTTTTTTGCACAGTTAGATCAGATTAATTGTTCTCTTCAAAATGATATCCACTTTGATATATTTTTCGAACAAAAAAAAATTGAGCCATGTTTTACCAGTCTAAACCATATGGTATTGACTGGTATTGAAATAAGAGCATACCTATGGTTTGAAAAGCGTACCATGGTGGTATGACACAAACCAAAACTGTAGGATGGTTGAATACATGATAGTAGAAGTATATTAATTGTCATTTACGACTTTTAACATAAGATACCATAAGATACCACCCCGTACCAGGGTGGTATTGTATGGTATTGTGTGGTATTTTTTTGTCTTGTAATTTGTTCACCCAGAAATTTGTAGATCCAATAGATCATGATGAACTCGTCCTTGCTGTGCAAACGTTTTCAAAAACGAATTAAAAACGAAGAAGATACCATATGGTATGCAGTTGGTACCGAGAGGGCAGAATTTTTTTTTTCCTCAAAAAATATTGAAAATTGATCTCATTTTGTAGAGCACGATGAACTCGTTCCATCTGTGCAAAAAAAATTAAAATCCGAGTTAAAACGAAAAAGATATGAGTCAATTAAGAAAGCTAGTGAGAATAAAAATGACCTTTTAATTCTCTATCTTTAGATCTGGATTTTCTAAATGAAGGGTCCAGATTTGGTTATTGATGGGTGCATAACCCAGGGTTATGCACTCTAACTTGAGCCCCTATACGGACCTCCGTTAACTACTCTCTCCTTTATTAAAATAATAATAGAAGCATTGATGATTTAAGAAAAAACCAACCAATTATATGATGCCACGTCGCCGGGCTGCAGGGATGGCTGCAACCCGGGTTGCAGCTAAATTTCGTCCTTTTTAAAATTGTGTACTATAATCCTCTACTTTCTAGACTTGCTAATTTATATCCACAATTAACATATTGTAGACTTTGGTGAGATTTTCGCCAATTCAAACTTCCGATTCTCCCCGTAACTTTCGGCAAGGGTATCATTGTAAATGCCGGATATCTTTTTTCCACCCCATGCTGTTGCAGCCCTAGCCTTCTTCCCCTTTTCTGGTCACAGACAAAATGCTCAATATCTTGTGATTTTCCTTCTCTTCCATCCCACGACCTTACATATCTAATGCTTTCTATTTTGAAGCCACCGGCAGCAAGATCAGATTGCACAGACTCGCCAATGACATGGGAGTAAGTGAGCTATGATTTGAAAAATCTGGAGGGGATAGCTTATCCAAACCTAGGTTTTCTTGAGTTGGATCTTTTGCAACCCAAAGCCATTTTGATTTGGTTCTCAATCGCAAACTGGGATCCCCGCCTTCAGCTGTCGATTTTGGCTTTATAGTGAACGGAATCCCCCTAATCCAACGAAGCTTCAGTGCTTCACACGCTGACCCATCTTCAAGAATTCTGCCTTTTGGTGAATGTTGTTTGCGGACGTCAATTCCATTGTTGTTGATGCGGAGTTCCGCCTCACGCTCTAAACCTCAACTCCCTGTCCTTGCTGAATCGAAACATATCGGAGTGGTAACAAGTATTCCTTTGCTTCTTTCTGTACCTTCGTTTTCATTTCCGTCAATCGGGGCAGGTTTTTGGTGAGACTTGGGACTTGGGAGCACACTGTAGTGTACAATTTCCATGCTTAGGTTAGACTAATTGCATGTACAATCCATATTCCTCCATACCCTGCACACGGGAAGACAGTCAAAGCTTCCGGGTGAATATCCACTTTACCTTCCCCAAAGTCTTTTTAAAGGCTTATGCTATTAGAACTTAGAAGCATACGCTAGGGATTAATTGTGGAGTGGGTTCATATATAACCTACTCATCCGGAGTTGAATGAATGGCCGCTCTATTGTTCTGCTTTGTGAACCATCTCTCCGCATTATTTAAGTTTCGAATAGGTAGGTGATTTTGTTGCTCAAATAATTATATTGTTGCCTTGGATTGATTCGCAAATTCTGTTTCCCTCACTGCAGATTTGGACACTTCAAATTTTCTGAAATTTGTATTAATTTGTTTTCAGTTTCAAATCGCATTGCTACTGTTGGGTGCACGAATGGTGATTCTCTTACACATTTTCACTTATGCGTCTAAACTTTAAGTCACTCTCTCATAAAACTCAGAATTCGTGGTTATCCATTGTTCAAGGATGGCAAGAGATGTTCGATGAGCATAATTTTAAGTTGAGGCATTCATCGTGCATGAGATCGGATAAATGAAGATCAATTTCAACAAGTTCAGTTCAAGCTAATTGGCAGTCGATCATGTGGCAGGAGAGAGTATGATTTACCTTCGACTAATGAAATTGTTGCACTAATTGTTGATGAAGCATGAGAAGAAACATTTGGACCGGGAATTGTGGCATTCAGATCTTATTTGTAATCATCAAGTGAGGCAAATGGTGAAAGAGAGGGGATTGTTTCATAATGTGGTTATTATAGCTACCGACTTCCTACACACGTTGGGAGTCCAATTCATTATTATTTGGGAGAAAATGATTTT